ATAAAGATATCTTATATTTAATGCAAAGTATCGTCAAACGAGATGAAAAATGATAGTAAGAAATGGATATATATTATAAGAAACGGAGATAAATAAACGTGCATAAATTAAGCGACATGCATGAAAGATCTACACAACGTACATTATATCCTCTACTTTACGGAATTTTACCACACCATTTACGACTCGATATGTGTATGTATAACATATAATGGACAATCACTTAGTCAACAACTTAGTTACACAATTAATCAATTACAATTAGCAACATATGTTTATCATTTTGTTATCTCTATAAAATGAAAGGTAAATTATGAGATTTGTTATGAGTTGCAGATTAGAGAGAAGTGTTTGAAATAAGTAAATTAGATTTTTTTTTCTGGTGAGCTATCCTGGATGTTTTTTTTTATTTTTGAAAATGCACGTAATATGTCGTAGTGGTGTTAGAAGTATTCTTTATCCGCGCGTCCTAAATTACATCACGCGATATCATCAATCTCTCTTTTCAGCGTAATATTTTCAGCATAAAATAATTTCGTTTCATATACGTTGTGCCCACTTTTTTTCTATCTACTTTAATTTTTACCGGCTCTTGCTGAGTCATTTGTCGATCATTCTCAGACTGATCATTGGAATCTGTTCCAACTTGTGACTCGCTCTTCTTTTCAGACTCCTTCTCTCCCGAGATACCTTCGTTCTTCGTTCGCAGCATGAAAACATCTTTACCTACAGATCTATTCTACCAGATCTACTCACCCGTTGTTAAGACTTTGTGTGGCGTATATTGAGAAATATTATTAACTTTTATATTATTCTTTCGTAATTATGCGATAAGCCAAATAAATATTTAATCGCGTATTTAATCATCTAATGTGCTTGTGAGCGCTCAGGCATTCAGCTTCGTTGCGAAAAGACACATCATAAGTTCACGCCAAGTATTATTCAGTACAAAGTAGAAAGTTTTTTAACTTCACACGTACTTGAATCATCTCTCCAGAATATAATAATGCGCTTATATCCCGAAATATTTTTATATTATTTAAGCAACTGCCTTAAATCTATCTGTATATAGAGCTGAATGCCCTTTTTCGCGATGCTGTGTTATCTTCCTTAGTATGATAAATGATTCATATAACTACATGCAAGACACGATTATGTAACTCTCACCTTTTCTCCATACTCAGGATCGATAGCCATCATTTCCCGAAGCGTTCTTAAGATTTTGACGCATAATTTCTCTTCCGTTTCTTCTAACAGCTTTTCGGTATGCTTAATTAATCTGCAAAGCAAAGATGCGTAAATACATTTATGTATTATAGTATGCAATGATGTTAAATTATTACCGTAATTAAAAATTTTACCTTTTGATAAAGCCACCATTTTCGCATCTCTTTCTGGCATCAGTTGCTGCAGGAAACAATAATTCAGGTCGATAAAGAATATCCACTAATAAGGATAATTCGGATTGTACTAATGGTTTTAATTGCTCCTCTAATAGACATACTATGTCCTGCAGACCTTCAATAATACTTCGATCTAAACGCATAATCTAGACAAAAAATATATGTAGTATTAATAAATTAGACTATTCCTTTAAATAATTAATTGTCTTGCATGTGCAGTTTTTGTACAATCTACACTACAGAATAAATTGATTTACGATTCGAAAATTTAAATAACAATCTCATAATACAAAATGTCTATATATTTCATGACATATCTAATATTCAATACTGTATTACACATTAAAATATTTGCTTTCCTACTTATAATTATTGATTAAATATTGAATTAATTATTTTGTTTTATAATATTATTTAAAAGTAAGTATATTATAATTATATATTTTGTATATATGTGTATGTATAACTATGAAACAGTAATTAAATAATATTTTCAGTAAAACCTATGAAGCCTATGCGTAAATCTCTAATATAACAGTATATATACTAATATTAGCAATCATACACTACATAGCATCTCTAACTAACAAAGTGCTATCTTCCATGAGTGACCTTTACCTCATTGTCAGAGCCTTCCATACAAAGTAAGTCACTCTATGCATTTAAGTAAATTGATTACACAATTGCTCTTTCACGAAATGTGAACGGTATGTTAAATTATTCTAATCTATTCCATAATAAACACTAAATTACAAATTACCTGACTTTGACTACGCTCAATTTTTGGTTGTTTAGTAGCTTGTAGCCATTTACTGGTCTGTCTGCTGAGCATAGCTGCTTTGTTAAACATAGAAGCTACTTGGCTTTCCAGATCAGTTGGTATAGCAATGCCTCTTCCTTTAGCTAAAATTAAGAGACAATTTTACATTATTCAAATAAAAATAAACACTATTTCCAAAAAATGATATTACTTTAAAAATTCAAGAGATACTACTCACCTACATCCGATAACGTTCGTATACAATTCTCAACGTTAAATCTTTGTCCAGCATTTAACCATGCGCATTGTGATACTTTAAAAGCTGCATGAAGCAACTGAACAAATATAGGTTGCCTTGTCTGTTCCATGAAAAGTAAATGCAGAAATTTATTAAAGTTGTCCATTTTATAATAGCAAATTAAAAAAAAACTATATTATTGGGCTACTTATAAAAGCTTTTTCTTAAGTACATTAAATTATATTTAAATTATATGCAGGAACGCGCGCGATAGCATATCGAACTATATGATATTAAATAATATTCATTATATAAAACATTTTATATTTTTAAATTGTCATATCTCATTATGTTATAATTATTTTCATATCTAGCAAATTTAAATTGCCATCATTATATATTTTATTTTCTTAATTATTATTTCTTATTTATATTTAACAATTATTATTATATTATACCCTTACATTAAAAACGTCGTCTTGCATTAAGAATAACACACTAACTGCCAAACAGTTTGAATAGAAAGACATTATATACATGCCATTTATAAATCGCAAACTTTTATAAGTTAGAAGAATTTAGAAAACATATAGATAGAACGAGAAAATATTTTAAGAATAACGTGAGTATATATAATAATCATAATTAACACCGAAAAATGTAGTTAATAAAAATGATTGCATTCAACAATGACAATGAATGTGTTAATTATATGCAAAGACAAATGCGGTACATATAAAGAAGAAAATGCAGTTTGTATTTACAACATCAGTCACTTTGTGCTGCTAAAGCATTTCTATGGTAGCCAACATCGTAAATATATAATATGTGAATAAATTAATATTTTTATATTCGTTCCTCCCTTGAAAACAAATCCTTATCATGTACAATTTGATGTAAATCACTTTCTCGATTCCAAAAAATATTTTTATACGTATTATATATGACTCTGTGACATTATATTGCAGAAGCATATATATCATTATATTATATTATATATACTCAAAATTAGCTAGTGGATGCATTTGAAAATCATTTTTCAAGTTTCATATCAATTTTCACACTGTCCTCAAACATATATATATATATATATATATATATATATATATATATATATATATATATATATATATATATATATATATATATATATATATATATATATATATATATATATATATATATATATATATATATATATATATATATATATATATATATATATATATATATATATATATATATATATATATATATATAT